ATGGACTCTAGCAGATGCCAAGAAAATAGCATCAAAACAATTTGGATTCTTTCCATGTCTCTACCTTCCACCCTAAGGATTTCAGAACAAACCCCTCCAAACTTCCCCTGGGTTGGAAGTTGGGACAGTGCTTAGGCAGATGCCAGGAAGCATAGAAGATCCCACTCTAGGGACTCTGGCGGTTAGGGTGGTACATCAGGAGACCAGGAGGCCCTCCAGTCATGTTCTCTCAACCTCTCCTTCATCCATCCTGCCATGCATGGGAAGTTACTGGATAGGTTAAAGCGGCAAACGATTTGTTGTGTCCTTCACCGCAAAGGAACTTTCTTTGCTTCTACAGTCACTCAGCTCCCTCATTGCTTCTGCCAGGAAGGACATGAGTTCCCTGTGTGACCATTCTTCTACAGGCTTCACCTGTGTGTGTGTGTGTGTGTGTGTGTGTGTGTGTGTGTGTGTGTGTGTGTCTGTATGTCTGTCTGTGTGTGTGTGTCTGTGTGTGTTTGTGTGTGTGTGTGTGTGTGTCTGTATGTCTGTGTGTGTGTGTGTGTGTGTCTGTGTGTCTGTATGTCTGTGTGTGTGTGTGTGTCTGTGTGTCTGTATGTCTGTGTGTGTGTGTGTGTATGTGTGTGTGTGTGTGTGTCTGTGTGTGTGTGTGTGTGTGTGTGTGGTGGCGGGGAGGGCGGGGGTCCCAGTCTGATTTTCTGTTATTGAGGTAAACATGACCAAAAGCAACTTGGGGAGTGTCTTAGTTACTTTTTTATTGCTGGGATAAGACTCTATGACCAAGGCAACTTATAAAGAAAGCATTTAATTTGGGCCTCACAGTTCTAGATGGCTAGAGTCCATCACGGCAGGATCATGGCAGCAGTCAAGCAGGCATGGCACTGGAGCAGTGGTTGGGGGCTCATATCACAACCCACAGGCGTGAGGCAGAGAGAGAGAGAATGAGAATATGATGTGGGCTTTGACACCTCAAAGACCACCCCATCCCCCAGTAACACACCTCCTCCAACAAGGCCACACCTCCCAGTCCTTCACAAACAGTTCTACCAGCTGGAGACCAAGTATTCAAATATATGAACCTGTGGGGGAGGGGGAGCAATCTCATTCAAACCACCACAGGGAGGAAGGGTTTGTTTGGCTTTTAGGTTACTGTCCATCATCAAGGGAAGCCAAGGTCGGGACAGAAGCAGAGAACATAGAGGAACACTGCTTGCTTCTGTGGCTCACTCATCCTGCTTCTTAAACAAAACAGGAACACCTGCCCAGGCTGGGCCCCACCACATCAATCACTAATCAAGAAAATGTGGTGTTGGAAAAACGGCTCATCAGTTAAAGTGCTAGCTGCCCTTCCAGAGGACCTGGGTTTGGTTACCAGCACACATGCAGCCGATAACAACCATCTGTAGTTCCTGTTCTGGGGAGTCCAACGCCCTCTTCTGGTCTCCATGGGCATCGCACACACGTGGTACACATGTACACATGCAGGCTGACAACCAGACTGACCTGCAGGGCGGCCGAGGAAAGGGCATGGATAGCAGCAAAGGATGCCCCACAGTGAGGGTGGTCTTAAAGCTAGTTTCACCTTGACACAGGGTCACTTTGGAAAAGGGAAACCCAACTGAAAAAAAAAATGTATCCACCAGATTGGCCTGTGGTCAAGCCTGTGATTCATGTTCTGGATTGATGACTGTTCCGGCTAGTTTTATGTCCACGTGACACAAGCTAGAGTCATCTGAAAGGAGGGAACCTCGATTGAGAAACTGCCTCCCTAAGATCCAGCTGTGAGGCATTTTTTAAATTAGTGATTGATGGGGGAAGAGCACAGCCCATTGTGGGTGGTGTCATCCTTGGGCTGGTGGTCCAGGGTTCTATACGAAAGCAGACGGAGCAAGCCAGTAAGCAGCATCCCTCCATGGCCTCTGCATCAGCTCCTTTCTCGAGGTTCCTGCCCTGTTTGAGTTCCTGTACAGACTTCCTTCAATGGTGGACAGTGATACGAAGTGTAAGCCTAACATCCCTCCCCATGTTGCTTAGGTCTTGGTGTTTCATCACAGCAATAGTAACCCTAAGACAATGGCTGATGTGAAAGGGCCCAACTCACCGTGGGCGTTGCCACCCCTGAGAAGGTGGTCCTGGATGGTATAAGAAAGTGGGAGGAGCAAGCCACGAGAAGCAAGCCAGTGAACAGCTCTCCTCCAGACAGAAGTTGCTTTTGGTCATGGTGTTTTATCACAGCAGTAGAAACCCCAACTAAGACAGAGAGGCGCTCTGCGCATGAAAGAGGCTGTGTGGGGGGGCCTAGCTATGGCTCTCAACGGATGGTGAGGTGCTGTAACTTTCACCTGAGTTGGGAAGATTCCCAGGCCTGCAGAAAAGCTCCAGGACCCCTTCCCTCAGCAGGGGGTGGGGTGGGTCAAGTCTTGACCATCAGCATTTCCAGTTATCCTGCCCTGGAAGAATTCAGTTCTCAGGATTTACTTCTGTCAGGGCTGAAGCTGTAACGGAGACACTGCCCAACGCTGCCCTCAGTAGCCTGAGGAGTTCTTTCCCCCTTAGGCTCTTCCATTCCGGTAAAGCCTGACCCTTGACAACCAAGAAACATGTCAGGACAAGACTGAGTGAAACAGTCCTAGGTTTGTTGAGTATTAAGATGGGAGCCATGGTGGTACACACCTTTAATCCCAGCACTCAGGAGACAGAGACAGGCGGATCCAAGTTCAAGGCCAGCCCAGTCTACAGAGGACAGCCAGGGATACACAGAGAAACCCTGTCTTTAAAAAAAAAAAAAAAAAAAGGTATTAAGACAGTCATGTAGGCAATTTTGGCTTTATCAGGTTTCTTGACTCTCAAACTAGATCCCAGGATGGGCTTCCTCCTCCCTTCCCAGTCCTAATTTCCCATCTCTATCCTGCATCCTTTGTACCCCGTTAGTACTCAGCCGACCCCCAATAAGACAAGATCCCTTTATAACAGTGCCTACTGGGAAACCAAAACTGGTTGGGGGTGGGGTGGGGTGGAGGTTGGCCCCCAGCAGAGGGGCCTTGTCATCTTCCACGTCACAGAGCTAGTCTGTGAACCACATTTCCCAAACTTTTCTTTCCACACACCCTCCCAGTGAGCGGGGCATCCTGTGAGGTTGAAGTAAACAGGCACGCTGCACTTCCCAGGCAGCTGCCTTTTGGAAAGCCTCCCCCCCCCCCCCCCCCCCCCCCCCCCCCCCACCCCCCCCCCCCCCCCCCCCCCCGCTTCTTTTGTTTCCCTCCCTGGTGGCTAAATTCCCTATTGGGCAGGTCAGCTCTGTCAGAGACTGGGCTGGAGGACAAGTTGGGGTCCTGATCCGCTATGGGGTCTCTGCCATCCTGGACGAGAAGCCCAAACCCTTTATAACTTGCAGAAGTGTCCCCACCCACCCCTTTCGACTGAGTACTGACACCACCCCCCCACTCTTGGCAGCGACCACTACAACGCCCCCACCCCTGCACACACACACACACACACACACACCCCGGTACCCAAGGTGTTTCAGACCTACTGTGCTGCCTGTGTGTTTTGGCTACACTGGAACCCGCTACAATGGTTTAGGAGGCAAGGAGCAGGAGAACAGATCAGGCGGAGTCCCACAGGGAGAAGAAGGCCCAGCAACTCTTGAGGTGCTTGCCTCTGGGAACCCGATAGTAAGTACCCTTGGAAAGGCTCCTGTGGGGGGCATGTTGGACTCCTGCCACCAACAAGGGAGACAACGCCCACCCCCAGGAGATTCATAAGCCCAGTGCCCCTAAGTGAAGTGGAAACGTGGGTACTAGGGCTACTAGGACCCAAGAAGTGAGTTCTGCATACCGTGGCAGAGGAGGGCGCGATTGGAACTCTTCCCTACCGGGAAAGGTGGGTGAGGTCCACGTATCTACAGAACGCCGGCAGGGGGCGCCAGGGCAATGAGTCTGAACCTTCTTTAGGGTCAGTCCAGGCTCCAGGACTTAGACTAAACTGCAACGCTGCTATGGGACCAGCAGGGGACACCAGGCTCACACAACACCCAGCAAGTCCTGGACAGGGTAAGCCCAGGGATCCACGGACCGCATGGGGAGAGCACCTATGGAACCCGTGACCCAGCTTGTCTGGGTCAGAGTTTTCTTCTTCCTGAAAGGAAAGGACCCTGGCCTGGTGGTCCTCCACTTCTGAACTGGACTGGGTGCCATAGGAATATGGAGCCAGGGTTGGATGAAGTTCAGGTTCTCCCTGCCTAGAGCAGGCAAATACCGTCCAGGACTTTGGCCAGCAAATGTCCACAGCAGTAGGCCAGGTACCTGCCAAATTGAGAATAACCAACCTGCCCACCTCAGAGAGAGGAAGATCAAGGTTAGTAAGCTGGATACGACCAGTCAAAGCACAGTGGTTACCATGTGCACTTTATTGAATCCACTGTGGACAGGTGTGTGAGTGTTACATCTGCATATGGCGAGGGGTAAAGGGGCCAGGAGGAAGGTAGTTATGGATGGTGGAGTAAATGTCAGGACCAAAGGCCAGAATCCTCTGTTAAGTGTAGAGACGACTAGCAGAAAAAACAATGCAGAGGACGGCCACGATGGTAATAACAACCGTGAGGATGCTGAGGACCAGGGCGCTGATGTTGAGGCACTTGGCAGTGGAGGCGTAGGCCTGGGCTCCAGTCACGTCACCCACCATCTTCCTGTCCCTAGACTGGAGCAGAGCAGATGATCAGTGGCCATGGAGTCGCTGGGCAAATGCCCTGGCAGTTTCCTTATCATACTCCCTGTGGACCGCATCTCTCCCACTTCAGTCAGGACCGTTTTACGTAGGCTGACTATGCAGGAGGCCTAGGACTTGCTGCTTACCCACCATCAAGTGTGGTTCCCCATGAATCTCCAGGGCATTTTCCACACAGGCTAGCACCCCAGTGTGCAAGGTGAAGGGGCGCTCTAGGTATTCCTCTAGACTGGGTGGGGACAGTCTGATGCCAGGTCCCCAGGCAGCCTCACCCTGTATCTGCCCTAGAGTCTTTAAGCCCACATACACACACACACACACACACACACACACACACACACACACACACACACACACGCAACATGCATACACACCACAGAAGAATGCACACAAACATTTTAAACAAAGGCCCCCTTCCCCCTCACACCTAGGTGCCATCTGGGTAGATGGAGCTTCAGGCTCCCACACACCTGCTTACACTACCACTCCCACATCCTCCACACTCACCTTCACAGAGTAGGCATAGGCAATGAAACCCAGGCAGCAAAAGTTCAAGAAGAGTGTGTTGAAGAGGGACCAGACCACATGGTCAGGCACAGCGACCTCTCTGGGCATGTTGATCACGGTGGTTCTGACAGAAGTTGAGCCATGGGGTGCTGGTCCCAGCTCAGCCACCTCATATTCTTCCTTAATTCTTTCGTAGTTTGGGGGATGTCCTCCATTGGCGGCAGTCACGAAGGCTTGAGAAGTGTGGTTCATGGTGCGGAGCAAAACCAGCAGTGAGGGGTAGAGGATGAAGTGCTCTGTGGGTCCGCCCTTTCTCCGGCAGTTTCGGTTTCTCAGAAGTTTCCTTTTCCTGAATTTTAGCTTAATGAGAATTGGCTGGGTCCTGAGGGGCGTGGCCCTAAAAGTCCTGTGGATCAAATTACTTCAGGACTGGATGTCAGGAAGGACTGTGAATCAGGGGAACTTCCTGTCCAGGAACCCAAGTCAGGACTTGTCCCAGGGCCCAAGCTCCACTGTTGATGGTTGAGGGGTCCTGGAGTCTACCAAACTCAGGCTAACAGCTGCAGAACTTCACTGTCCCTGACCAAGGTCCCAGCCAGGCCCCACAGAACCCACCCTTCTCCCAGCAATAACGGGTGCCCCCAGAGCCCACTGCACGCACGCACGCACTCTGGAGGCCAGTTCTACTGGTTTCCTTGCAGGTAGAGGTTGGGGTGAACTGCAGACAGTGCCCTAAGTGTGGTCAGTAACTGGACTTTGGTGTTAGGACTGAATGATCCAGGTCACATGGCTATGACCTCATGGTCCAGGGCTGGCATATTAGTGCTCCCCCAACTCCCTTTTCCTCCTGCCCTATCACAATTTATTAGAGCTAGTGGAATGGTCACTGAGGACCTTCATCATGCCAGAAAAGCCTTCTCAAGTACGTGGTGGGGTGAGGGCTATGGTCCCGAAAGCCACTCCTGATCATGCTGAAGGATTCAGTTCCCTGACAACAGGGAGGCCTGACCTAGGCTCTCCTGTTAGGAGTTGTATCCACTTTCTATCTTGGTGGCACAGTAAGGACCAGGCTACCAGACCTGCTTCAAGGTGCCTTGCAGCACCCACCCACCCTTCCTAGAGCTCTGAGCCTTGGGGGTTTTGGCTCCCCCAGTCTCCAGGTCCCAGTCATTCCGTTCTTTGTCTTCCTTGAGTTCCTCACAGGGATGGCAGCACCTCCTACAGTCACCCCTCTACAGTCCTGTTCTGGGGGCTGGCTTCATCAGCCTCCCTGACAGAGTCCTGCCTGGTGGAATAGGTAGTGTGATTTCCATGTACTCAGCTGTTCCCTCACAGAGGCTCCTGCGGGCCACAGGCTCAGGGCACCATGTACAGAGCAGGGCGTTGGTCTGGGGACAGGGACTCTGACTGGAGCCCGACAGTGCTGGTTTCCATTGGGTTTTGATATGCTTTTTCTTTCTTTTATTTTTTCTTTCTTTTATTTTTTTCTCTCTTTCTCCCCTTTTCTTTTTTCTCTCTCTTTTTTTCTTTTTTTCTTTTTTCTTTTTCAAGACAGGGATTCTCTGTGAAACAGTCTTGGCTGACCTAGAACTCACAGTCACAGAGATCCGCCTGCCTCTGCCTCCCAAGTGCTGGGATTAAAGGCATGAGCCACCACCGCCTGGCTCTGATATGCCATTTCTTTGTGTTCTGTGGAATACCTCTCCAACAAGGCCTACGTCACACTGTTCCTCATACATCCCTGAAAAGAAAGTTTGAATCGATGGCCTGCAGTTTACCCTCCCATTGCCTTTCAGCCACGTGGGAGAGGAAATAATACGAGTAACCCCTGAGTTTGTAAATGACAGTAAGTGTGGTACTGTGATCACCACACAATCTGGTTTCAGGAATGTTGGATTTGGGTATAACTTTTTTTTATAGTCAACAATATTTAATTTCAACCATACCTCTGTTTACTACGGTCTCACAATATTCCTGAAGTCAAACACATTTGCTTCCGGATGTTTACCTAGTCACAACAGAAACTATACTGAAAGTTAATGGTCATCTCAAACTTTGTGGCCACTTCTCGGCCATCCTCAGTCACTGGGACCCTATTTCCTCTCTCCTGGTGGCTTTGGTGACCTGTGAGGGCTTTGCCATATCCAGGCCTTCACATGTATTCAAACCCCAGACTCATCTCCCTACCCACAGAGGTGGGGAGCTATACCCAGCACTGCATGTACGTTCAGTGTCTTCTCGTGCCCCGCCCCCCAAGTGGGCTGGATGGAGGCCTCTTCCTGTCAGTCTTGCTCCTTCCCATGTGGCACATCCCTTAAGAAACTATCTTTGGATTTTTTGATCTTCTTCATTTGTTCCTATGGGCGATCGCTGCTGCCCCAGGGGTCATCAGAGAGAAAGGGATCGACAAGCATTGTTGGAAGAGGGTCAGGGCCAGCCTTTTGCTCCATCCAAGATGATCCATTTCTGACATGATGCACAATTGTTGGCGCTTTATTTGTCCAGTTCTGTCCTGACTCTTCTCACCGGGGACAGGTCTGGCCAGTGTCCTTCAGTAGAGCTGGAATCGAGAGGCCATGTTCTCTGGTTTGGTGTCCCTGCACTTTTCAGACCCACAGCATCCTCTACGCGGCACTGTTCTCCAACTGGACTCCTATTGGTGGGTCTGCAGAAGCCTGTCATCTCCTACCAGAGACCCTCTGCCTGTAGCTGCCTAACAGGCGGGGAAAATGGGTGGGAGCAGCACTCCTCAGCATAGCCTGGGGGGCAGGGGTTTCTCTGCTGTCTTCTCGGGATGAGACTTTGCTTTGTTTCCTCTCGGCTTTGGGTAGGGAGCAACTTAGAGTCTTTCCATTCAGCTGACCACTCTCCCCTGCCCTGCAGGCCACCAACACAATGGGAAGTTGTCACAATTCCATTGCTTCTGCTCCAATTACACCTTCGGTGAGTAGGAAGTGAGCATGGGGACTCTGCATGGCTGAGCAGCCCCACTGTGGGTTCACTCATGGGTTGTAGTAAACACTAGCCCTGTATGTTCCACTTCAGACAAGTAGTTAGGATGGTGTTTAGTCTGGAGATCATGGCCTGGCTCTGTGCCCAACAGTGCCTAACATGTCTGAAGTTTCCACGCCCTCAGGATAGTTGCCCAAGCATTGTTCATATGCAGCGTTAGGAAGGCCTGAAGTGTGGCCATAGGGACTGTGTTCCTTGTCCTGAAGTCTCAACCTTCATTCAGTCATGACCTGGGTCTGAGGTTGAGCACTCTGAAGGCCCAAGGCCATGAATTTTAGTGGAGATGCCACACTGGGTCCTTCTCAAAAATGCTTTTTTTTTTTTTTTTGAGACAGGGTTTCTCTGTGTGGTTTTGGTGCCTGTCCTGGATCTTGCCCTATAGACCAGGCTGGCCTCAAACTCGCAGAGATCCGCCTGCCTCTGCCTCCCTAGTGCTAGGATTAAAGGCATGTGTCACCACTGCCTGGCTCTCAAAAACCCTTGCCCCTTGGCTGGTGCACTGAAAGTCTTGATTTCTCCCTAGGACTTAGTCTGGCTGAGTCGCTCCCCTCCAGTGTGATAGCAGCTCTCCCAGTGGGGTCCTCTGTCTCCACTGCTATTATGATCCCTGCCTTTTGTTTTTTTTTTTTTTTTGAGACAGGGTTTCTCTGCGTAGCTTTGCGCCTTTCCTGGAACTCGCTTTGGAGACCAGGCTGGCCTCAAACAGAGATCCGCCAGGCTCTGCCTCCCGAGTGCTGGGATTACAGGCGTGCGCCACCACCGCCCAGCTGATCCCTGTCTTCTTAAGACAGGCTCAGCTCCCAAGACAATGAAGGGAGGGATTCTGCTCCAGAACCCTGGACCTTAGTGAAGAGGCATCTCTAAGCTAGGTTAGTCTCACAAGATGATCAGAACCCAGGACAAAAACCCAAGTACCAACACAGGGAGACAGTGCCACTCTGGGGCTTCAAAGACTTGTAATCTTGGGGTGCCTAAAATGAGGTGGAAACGCAGTCGCCAAGGGCATCCAGGAAGAGGAGAGGTGAATTTGGAGTACAGACTATTGGTGAAGGGTGCCAAAGCCCATGGAGACCGAGATCCACCCTCGACATCTCAGATCTCAGGACCCACAGAGTGATAATGAGCTCCGTCAGCAGGTGGCGCCTGGCAGCGAAGACTCTCTGTTCACCTCCCGCTGCCCACCCTTGACCTGAAGTAAACCTGTGAGACATGAGTGAGAAGGTAAGGGTCATCTCGGTTAGTACATCGCAGCACCCAGCGGGTATCATAAACAGTCTGTCCAGAATCCAAGCCAGAAGCCACCACAGAAATCCTAGACACAGTTTGCCTGGGTCGAGGCTTCTTCCTCCTGAAAGAGGAGGACCCTGGGCTGGCCCTTTATCCCTGGACTAAGGACTCCTTAGCTTGTGACTCTGCACCCTTCCTGGGTGCTCTGGGTATGTGGAGCCAGCCTCTTTTACTTAGCAGGCACTGGTAGGCAGTAACTAAGTAAAAGAGGACCCTATGCAGGACGCTCGTCAGCTGCTGTCTCCTACAAGAGGCCAGAAGCCTTCCTAGCTGTGAATGCCCTGCACTATACCCCCCACAGCTCCTCTTAGGAAGGAAGCCAGGGAAACCCTGAGTAAGTTCAGTACAGGACCAGTCAGGAAACGAAGAGTCAATGCACAGTTGCCACCATATACACTTTATTGACTCCACTGCGAACAGATGTGTGAGGGTACGAATTACGTGAGGAGCAGAGTGACAGGTCAGGGCCACTAGCCAGGATAAGGGACAACTGGGAAGGGCGGAGCACACGCATACTTTCCCCAAGAAAACAGTGTATGAGAGAATTAAGTCCTTTGACTCGAATTCGAAGAGCACGTACTTCGTGGAGTCCCACTCTTAGTTCCCATCCTCTAACTACTTTGGCTGTTTATGATGATGATTATGATCAGTGTGATGATGGAGACGACCATAGCACTGATGTTCAGCCGTTTAGCAGTTGTAGCATAGGCCTGGGCCCCAGTCATATCGCCCACCATCTTCCTGTCCCTGGACTGGAAGAGAACAAATGATCAGTCATCTGAGAGCCAGGTGCTCTGCCTCAGTTCCCCCATTGTCCTTCCTACCCACTGCAATCTCCTCTCTCAGGTCAAGGACCCTCACTCCCTTTCACATACCCAGACCATCCAGCAGAGCCCAGCAGTGTCCGCTCACCCCTCTATGAAGTACTGTTTTCTGTAAGCCCCACTTTCATACAGACTGGTGCCCCATTCTCAGGGTAAAGGGGCATTCCACAGACTAAGCAGTAAGGAGAATTCCTCTAAATGTGTGGAGACAGTGTTACCCCAGAATCCCTAGGCAGCCCCACCCTTTGCCTACCTAGGAGAGTCTCCAAGACACATAAAACCCACATACACTGTATGCTATATACACAGTCTATACACACAAACGTAAGTACATACAGGACACCAAACACAGAGTGTCACACATGCACAAACACAAGGCTGTACGTGTCCCAGGTAACCCTTGGGCAGGAAGAGCTTCAATCACACACAAACCTTCTTGTCCCATCACCCCCACCTCAAGGACACTCACCTTCACAGAGAAGATGTAGGCAATGAAACCCAGGCAGCAGCTGTTCAGGAACACTGTGTTAAATGTGGACCAGGTAATATAATCCACTGGGACATCATCGCTGTTGATGGTAACCACAGTGGATCTCGAGCCAGGGTCCTCCTTGACCATGTTTTGTGCTTAAAGGAAGCTCTTGTTTTAAAGAAGTTAGAAGTTCCTGTGGATAGAGGAGTCCTGGGCGCTTATATATAATCTTTTGCAGAGTGAGGTCCGGATGCTGTGGGATGGGCTTGGTAGGATATAGCCCCCCTTCTCAACGGCCTCTTTAAAGTTCTGCTTTCTCAAAAATTTCTACTCCTGTTGTTTGTAAACCAATGAATTACCTGGGAAGTAGGATTCCAGGCTCTTCTCCAAGCAGTTTATTCAGGAACCTTGAACAATCTTCTGACTCTGGGGAAAGCCATCTTCTGACTCCCGGGAAAGCCAGCCCACGCCCTTTATAGCCACTGGGCAACCAACCCCGTAGTGCCACGTGGACAATGCCGATAGGGTCAGACATACGCAAGCAAGCCAGATTCCACGCCCAAGCCAAATAAGGAGTTGTTTATCCCAGAGAACACCTGACATCGGGAAGGCGGAAGCCGGACGCCGGCGCCATCTTTGAGGCGCGGCCGTGCACGGCTCTCTACAGTTCCCCCTTTATTGTTTTAAGCAGCAGGCAAGAGCAGAGGTCTAATCTCTGCCAAAATACAACTTGGACATTGTACTGGTGTTAGTCCAGGTGTCATCCACCCAGAGAACACTTGACCCATCCGATACCCTTTTTTGCAGAGGTGGGAATTAGGGTATCAACCCACATGCAATTAGACTTGCTCTTCTTGGGTTTTGCTTGGGTTTTGCAATACAGCTAGACCCAAGTGCAGTGCACTAGCCTCGCATCCTGCGCGATCAAGCTTTTAATGCGGCCAGCCAGGCCTGGGGAGACTGTCCAGCCTCTATGGCTGTAAAGGCTTGGATAATCATGGCTGCATTGCGCTGCTGAGAAACCCTTAAACGAACAATGCACCACAGGCACATCAGGGAGACAAGTACCAGTAGGCCTGCCAGGGCACCTAATCTCGCCCACTCCTTTAAAAAGGTGATAGAATTTCGCAGCCAAGACATCATTTTCACAGTGGAGGCCAGGTGTACATGGGTGGAGTTGACCACAATGATCTCATTGCGCAGGATCTGGGTCAGGTTATCAAACTCCACCGACCAGGTTCTGCTCGTGAGTCGATCCTCAGCTGCTCCCGCTGGCACACTTGTCAGAATCAGGGCTATCTGGATCAGGCACATCAGCTTCCGGGGTGTCATCACGTCTCTCCGTCTGAGGGGCCCGTCGCACCAATCGCTCAGGTACCCAGATAGGGTCTAGCCGGTCCTGTGGGAAAACACAAACAGAACCTCGTGCCCATGTCAGCACGGGATCGGGGCCATGCCAGCTACCTGTGAGGATATCTTTCCACTTCACCATGCCCTTCATAGGGCTGTATGGATTATGATGCCTATCTGCTGATGAACTTCCCGAGGCATCCAAATTCAAAAAATTTAAGGTGAATAATGCCAGAGAGAGTCTTTCTCTTGGGGTTCGGTCATGGCCTATTCCCCCTTTTTGTTTTTGAAGAATTTCTTTAAGGGACCGATACGCATGCTCCACAATGCCTTGGCCTTGAGGATTATAAGGGAGACCGTGCGTTAACTGCACATCCATTCGCTGACAGAAGGAATTAAATTTCTGTCCTGTGTACGCCGGCCCATTATCAGTCTTTAATTGCTGAGGTTTTCCCCATGCTGCCCAGGCTTCCAGACAGTGGGGAATGACATTCAATGCTTTCTACCCCGTCATAGGTGAGGCATGTATAATCCCTGAACAAGTATCCACAGAGACATGCACGTATTTGAGGCGCCCAAAGTCAGGGATATGTGTAACATCCATTTGCCAAACTTTTAAGGGACGTAAACCACGGGGGTTAATTCCCAAACTAGGGGGATGATGAAAAATAACACATTGAGGACAATCCATGACTACTTGGTGCGCATCCGCACGGGAAAGGGAAAATTTAGCCTGCAACGTACGTGCATTCACATGGAATTCTTTATGAAAATCAGAGGCTCACTGTATAGCTGAAGCCATAAACATCCACACTTGTCGGGTACACTGATCTACTATGTCATTGCCTTTAGCTAAAGGACCAGGCAATCTTATATGAGCACGTATGTGCTGAACGAAGAATGGATGTTTACGTAGCCAAATCAAACTTTGTAACTGCTGAAATAAGGAGCTTACAGAACTAGAGGGTTTAATCAGTCCTGCACATTCAAGATATTTCAAAGCATTAACAACATAGCAGGAATCTGATATCAAATTAAAAGGAAAAGGGCAAGCTCTAAAAACTTCTAAAACGGCCGGGCGGTGGTGGCGCGCGCCTTTAATCCCAGCACTTGGGAGGCAGAGGCAGGTGGATCTCTGTGAGTTCGAGGCCAGCCTGGGCTACCAAGTGAGTTCCAGGAAAGGCGCAAAGCTACACAGAGAAACCCTGTCTTGAAAAACCAAAAAAAAAAAAAAAAAAAACAAACAAACAAAAAAAAAAAAAACTTCTAAAACAATTTGCAGCTCCACCTGTTGCGGTGTCCCATTATCCACCATATATGCTCCAGCACCAGTTTTAGAACCATCTGTAAAAATAATGCTTGCTCCCACAATGGGTTGAGTGGTAGTCACTATGGGAAACACCACCGGATGTTCCTTGAAAAAGGTTAACAAGGGATGTTTAGGGAAATGACAATCAATGGACCCTGAAAATGAACAACGTAATATGGCCCATGCATCTATTGTGGCAGTTAATATTCTAATTTGATTGCTATCATATGATGTAATGAGTTCTTTGGGTGATACTCCAAAATGTTGCACACATAATAAAATTCCTTGTTGGGCAAGCTCTGCCACAGCAGTGGGATAATGCTGTATAGTTTGTGCAGGCGACAACTTTGGGTGAATCCACAACAGAGGTCCATCTTGCCATAAAATCCCTGTAGGCTGTAAAAGGGTAGGCAATATGCATAAGCTAATCTTCTCTGGACTCTGTACTCTCGTAAGGAACGCCTTTTGTAGTCTATCTTCTACCTTCTGCAATGCATCCCTAGCCTCTTGAGTTAATACTCTTGGTGAATCCAAGGCCGGATCTCCATTTAAGATATCAAAAAGAGGCTTCAAATCATAGTTTTGATATGCAAACTCCCTCGGACCCAATTTATGTCTCCCAATAACTTTTGGAAATCATTAAGAGTACGAAGATGATCCTTCCTCAGCTCTACCTTTTGTGGGACAACCTGGTTAAAGGTTATATTAGAGCCTAAATAATGAGCTATCCCATTCTTCTGAACCTTTTCTGGGGCAATGCAAAGACCTTTCTTTTTTTTTTTTTTAAAGATTTATTTATTTATTATGTATACAGAGAAGGGCACCAGATCTCATTACAGATGGTTGTGAGCCACCATGTGGTTGCTGGGAATTGAACTCAGGACCTCTGGAAGAGCAGTCGGTGCTCTTAACCTCTGAGCCATCTCTCCAGTCCCTGACCTTTCTTTCTTAATGCTTTATCCAAGCAGGAATAAGCTTCCTCTAATATTCCTTCATCTTTTGCGGCAAGGAGGATATCATCCATGTAATGGACACATCTTACTATGGGAAAACGCTGCTGCATGGGCGCCAGAGCTGCAGCCACATAGATCTGACACATGGTGGGGCTGTTAGCCATGCCTTGAGGCAAGACCACCCACTCATATCTCTTATCAGGTTATTCATGATTGATGGAAGGGAGAGTAAAGGCGAATCTGGCACTATCATCTTGAAATAAGGGAATGGAAAAGAAACAATCCTTTATATCCACGGCAATAATATGCCAGGAGGCTGGCAGAGCCGATAGAAGCGGTAGCCCTTGCTACACTGGACCCATGACCTGCATCTGATTATTAATAGCCCTAAGGTCATGTAACAATCGCCACTTTCCAGATTTTTTTCTAATGACAAATATAGGTGTATTCCAAGGCGACACAGAGGGTCGTATATGTCCAGCCTCAAGCTGTTCTTTTACTAGCTCTTCTGCCGCTGATAACTTTTCAGAGGAAAGTGGCCACTGAGGTACCCATACCGGGTCCTCTGTTTTCCAGGAAATGGGAATTCCTTCCTCAGTGGCCCCTATGAAAAACCCAATCCCTGTCTAGGTGGTCTACTCTGCGCCTGAACTGGATCTTTTCTGCCTTGGAGAAACTTCCCCAAACCAAACCTAGGATGACATCCCATCTTCATCATAATTTCCTGAGACTCCTTAGAATATTCGTTACTCAATTTGAATCCCATAGATTGCATAAGATCCCTTCCCCAAAGGGACACTGGAAGCTCGAGGACGTAGGTTTGCATAACACCCGAATGGCCCCCTTCATCCTGCCACTGTAATTGTCCTGCACTAATATCTGGTGAATTGGTATATCCTAGCCCTTGTAGAGTTTGAGAGGAGACTTGCACTGGCCACCCACGGGGCCAGTCTTTACGGGCAATGATGCTCCGATCTGCACCAGTATCCAGGAGTCCCGTTATCTTGGTACCATTAATAGTTAATTGCAAGGTGGGTCTTTGATCTAAATCAAGGGACAGAAAAGTTAAATCTGTCCCCATGGATCCAAAGCCTTTATTTCTTCTGTTTCGATCAGCGGCTGGATAGGACTCATGTAAACTGGGTAATAAAACTAGTTGTGCAATCCTATCACCTGGTGAAATGGCAGTAATTCCTTTTGGAGACTCAACCATAATTTTCACAATCCCAGTATAATCAGGATCAATCACTCCTGGGTTTACTTTAAGACCTTTTTATGGTGGTGGAGGATCTTCCTATCAATAAACCCACCGTGCCCAGCTTCAAAGGGCCTTTAAAATCAGACTCCACTAATTGTACTCCCATCTGTGGAGTCAGTACGAGTCTGGTGGTGGCACGGAGGTCCAACCCTGCTGAGCCTGTAGTGGCTCTCCATGGTTCCTCGGATGACTGAGGGTTGGTCACTGCTCCGGGTTCCCGCCTTGCTCCTGATTCTCCACTGCCCCATATATTTGCGGGCCCTGAGGCTGAGGGCCCCGCTGTCCGTTTTTTGAAAGATTGCCCATTATTATAGGCTGACCATTTATGTCCTTGACTGACCTACACTCATTCGCCCAATGCTTCCCCTTTTTTTTTTTTTTTTTTTTTTTTTTGGTTTTTCGAGACAGGGTTTCTCTGTGTAGCTTTGCGCCTTTCCTGGTACTCGCTTTGGAGACCAGGCTGGCCTCGAACTCACAGAGATCCGCCTGCCTCTGCCTCCCGAGTGCTGGGATTAAAGGCGTGCGCCACCACCGCCTGGCTGCTTCCCCTTTTTACACCTAGGACAAAGTCCAGGCTGTGTAGGGCATTGGCTCCTCCCTATTCCTTGGTTACCTTCTCCTTGAGGGCAGCTACGTTTGAGATGGCCCATTTTTCCACACCGAAAACATGCCCCGGTGTTCCCTCCTTTCTTGTTACTAAGTTGCATAACTGCAGCCTCAAGGCCTGCGTTAGTTAGAGGTCCCCCTAATTCTCTGCACACTTTCATCCATACTTCTAAACCTTTGTTCTTATGAGGAGTGATTGCAGCGTTGCATTCTTTGGTACATTGTTCATAAACTAGCTGCTTTATAAGCGGCATCGCGGCATCTGGGTCCCCAAAGATTCTGCCTGCAGCCTCGACCATGCGGGCCACAAAATCTGAAAAAGCTTCCATAGGCCCCTGAAGGATCTTAGTAAGGTTGCCGCTCACTTCCCCTTTATTAGGTAGGGACTTCCATGCCCTTGTTGCTAGTTGATTTATCTGGTCATAAACCTGCTGTGGATATCCATTTTGTTGATTGGCAAATCGGCCTTGTCCCAGCAGCATGTCTACATCCCAAGCTGCTTGACCTCCACCTGCAGCCCTGTTAATCGCAGCTTGTTCACTGGCAAATTCTATCAAAAATGCCTTCCAGTCTAAATACTGCCCTGCGCTGAGACATGCTCGAGCAAGATTCATCCAATCGGATGGAGTCATGCAAAATCTGCAGAGCCTCCACTTGAGCAACAGTATATGAGGCTGTGATGCCATAAGTCCGGACAGATTCCGCTAGAGACTTGATGACCTTAAAATCCAAAGGTTCATGGTATTCTCTGTTGAGTCTGGGCATTGAGAAACACTGGGCAAGCTAGCTGCATTTCAGTTCTAACCTGTCTCCAAACCTCCCGGTTAAAAGAATTCCCCATAGAGACAACTCTAGACATGGAGGCAGATTCCAGATACGGTGGAGGAGCTGAGGGAGCAGCTCCACACTCAGACTCACATCCTTTAATTCTTTCTCTTTCTCCTTTATTTCTACCCCTTTTCTTTCTTATTCTCACGCTCTGCAAGGTTTCACATAATGACTCTACATCATCAGAATCAGGGGAAGAGATAGGGGACTCGGAACGCTCTAGGTCCGAAAGGTCAGGATATAACCTTGTTTTTTCTTCCCCCTTTTTTGTTTTACTTCTGGTAGACGCTGCTTTAGCAGACATGGCCTTTTCTGATCTTTCCTCCTGCAACATTTCTAAGGCTGCCTGCCCATTATCTACCACATCGCTTCAGCGCTGGTCTTCGAGACACCCTCTCACTAATT